GTTCAGCTAATTTACATTAATTGGTTTTAAAAACTTAATGACAAATTATTTTTGTAATAAAATGAGATTCAACTAAATTTTCAATTACTTGTTTCGCTATACTATAAATAGATTAATAGAGTGTCATTTAAGAATTATCATATCATTAAATTTGATAATTTAAAATAAGAATGATCTCTTATCCCAAATTCTTATAATAGTGTATAGAAACCAAATATAGCGAAATAATGCTCATAATTTAACAAATTCCAAGGATGCCAACTTTTAAAATTACTTTATTGATATGTATTGTTGAAAAAATTGTATAATTGTTACAACTTCATGTTATATTATTAGAAATTATTGACACTATAAATTAATCATAGATTTAACATCTATTATATAGAGGAAGAAATTGAGCACCAGTCTTTCTCATAGATATACATAAATTTTAAGATACACAAATTCATTCAAACGATGGCGGGTGGAGTTTTAGTTGTTTCAAAACAAGGGAGGCAATATGAGGGGAAGGTTACCGTGTTTGTTTTGGTCACATGTTTGGTGGCGGCTATGGGTGGTTTACTTTTTGGTTATGATCTTGGTATTACAGGAGGAGTGACTTCCATGGAACCATTCTTAGTTAAATTCTTCCCAGGTGTTTACAAACAAATGAAAGATGAATCTGAACACGAGAGCCAATATTGCAAATTTGATAATGAGCTTCTTACTTTGTTCACATCTTCCTTGTATATTGCAGCTTTAATAGCTTCTTTCTTTGCTTCAACTACTACAAGAATGTTAGGACGCAAGGCCTCAATGTTTGCAGGTGGCTTGTTTTTCCTGGTGGGTGCATTGCTAAATGGTTTTGCTATCAACATTGAAATGCTTATCATCGGTCGCTTATTACTTGGTTTTGGTGTAGGATATTGTAATCAGGTAAAAACCGATAACGTTTTATGATTTTATGTTTTTATGTTTTTATGTATAAAGGATAAAGAATATTTTAAGTTTAATTGCATTCATTTTTTGTTACTCATAAACAGTCAGTTCCAGTGTATTTGTCTGAAATGGCTCCAGCAAAGATTAGAGGTGCGCTCAACATGGGCTTCCAAATGATGATTACTATTGGAATCCTAGTGGCAAACATTATTAATTACTTTACTTCCAATCTCGAGAGGGGATGGAGAATTTCTTTGGGTGTTGGAGCAATCCCTGCAATTTTGTTGTGTATAGGATCCTTTTTTTTAGGAGACACACCAAACTCTATGATTGAAAGGGGCCAAAAAGAAAGAGCTAAGAAAATGTTGCAAAAGATTCGTGGTATTGATAATGTCGATGAGGAGTTCCAAGATCTAATTGATGCTAGCGAGGAAGCAAAAAAGGTGCAACACCCGTGGAAGAATCTTACACAATTGAGATACAGACCTCAACTAACATTTTGCTCTCTCATTCCATTCTTCCAACAACTCACAGGAATCAATGTTATCATGTTTTATGCCCCCGTCCTTTTCAAAACTTTGGGCTTCGGAAACGATGCTTCCCTCATGTCCTCAGTAATTACCGGAGGTGTCAACGTACTCGCTACTTTTGTTTCTATTTTCACTGTTGACAAGTTTGGAAGAAAGATTTTGTTTATTGAAGGCGGTGTCCAAATGTTTCTTTGTCAGGTGACACTTGCAACTTAACTAATATTTAACTCTTTATATTTACCGTTCAAATTAATTCATTTTCCAATCATAGTTAATATAAAAGTTATGATTATTCATTGTAGATTATTGTTGGAAGCATGATTGCTGTCAAGTTTGGAGTTAGCGGTGAAGGATCCTTTACACACATTGAAGCCAACCTTCTTTTGTTCTTTATATGTTTGTATGTTGCAGCATATGCATGGTCTTGGGGTCCATTGGGATGGTTAGTTCCTAGTGAAATATGCTCTCTTGAGGTTCGCTCTGCAGGTCAAGCTACCAATGTTGCTGTGAACATGTTATTCACCTTCGCCATTGCTCAAGTTTTTCTTACTATGCTTTGTCACTTGAAGTTTGGACTTTTCTTCTTCTTTGCCGGCTTTGTGCTTATAATGACAATTTTCATTGTCATGTTTTTTCCCGAGACAAATAATGTCCCGATTGAAGAAATGAATAAAGTGTGGAAGTCTCATTGGTTTTGGTCAAAGTTTGTTCCAGATGTTGTCGTTGATCATGACCGTAAAGCCGTTGTTTGATATTAAAAATTGATGAGGATCTAGACTAATATATGTATGACATAATAATTTCAGTTAATTATATTTGATGCTTTTATATTCATCTTGTATTTAAGACTTTTTTAAAAAGTATTTGTATTATTTTATGAATGGTTGTTAATATGCTCTAACATAATATGCATATAATTTTTTATAAAGTTGATTCTCCTTAATTTAATATCTTAAATATAAATTTTTATCCGATAACAAAATATTTCTATAAAATTAATTAAATAATTTTTGTGGCTTCGTAACTAAGATGATATAATACATGTATTTTCGCTAATGAAAATTCCTCATATCATTATTTATTAAGACATAACACCCTCTTGTATACTTCTATTTATGATTGTATTTAACTAAGTTAAGCTAGAGTAAATGAGAATTAGACAATCCTTTTAGGTGCTTGAAATCAAATGATCTTGAGACACTTGAAAATATGCGATCTTATCAGAGGCAAAGCTTGATAGACACCTCATACTAGAGGCTTGTCTTGACTCATTGATCGTGTTATTGTTGATATAATTGTACACTTTATACTAGAGTAATTATTCATCTTTCTTAGTTATTTAGATTTTATAACTTAGAAATTCATCGTAGCAAGGAACTTTTTCTCATGTTCTTTGAATTTACTTCTACCAAGATCTAAATGAAATTGAGAATACAAATATCGGCCAAAAACGCATCCACAATCCAAAGTAAAATGACTAATGCATATATACACGCTAAGGCCAAAGGGTTAGTAAGAAGAAGAATAGAGAATTACCGAAAATGGACTCGAGCTGGCAGCTATGATGCAGGTAATGAGTTCTTTCAAACTCTCATTCTTCAATCGGTGTGCTATCTGCTTCGTGAAGCTAGGTGTGCCACAGGAGATTCAAATACTGTTGAAGCTTTATGTGTGTTTATGTGTGTTCATGGTCCCCAACAGGCCATGTTGAATTCAGGTGGATATGAAAGAAGGACCCACCCTCATTCTAATGGTCATATGGTCAATACAAAGCCAAGCTTTCTCAAGAATTCTCCAAAAAGGACCGGAGTTTCCTACCTTTTGGTTTTGAGTTATAAGCTTGAATAAGAGAGTTTTGGATCAAAATTTAAGGAGCTTTCAAGGAGAGTTTTATTTGGTTCATCATTTGTTTTTCTACAAGATTCAAGGCCAAAGTATGTTTTAAGCTGCAAGGGGCTCTCGTGTTAGTCTTCATCGAATGTTAACTTCAAATTCAAGTACTCATTTCAAGGGAATTAAATTTAGCAAAATTCAAAGGGTGCAAGCTAGTCAACTCAAGCTCATAAATCCAAATTCCAAATTTTAATTTGTATCAATTCAAGGCATATATTTTGTTCACACGAAGTTGAAAGAAAGTATGTGAGGATTACTTGAAATTCGAAGGCATACCTCATTCACTACTGTTTTTCAAGAACATAAGTTCATCACAAAGCTCAAGAGGCCTTTGTCTTAGATTATGATTATAGTGGAATCCGTAAAATTCGAAGAAGCTATCATAGCGCAAGACATGATTGTTGGATTTCCATTTGATTTGCGGTCGTGTTTTGAACATGGCTTATAGTGTTTTCACAAGATTTTTCAAGTGATTCAAGAATATTTCTGCCATTGATTTAATGCCATAAAATGGGTGAGCATCTTTGTTTCATGCTGTGTTTGAGGCCATAAGAGGCGTGTTTGCAATGATTAAAAACGATTAAGGTTTACAAGTTCAAGGGATTCAAATCCACCAATTTCAAATCCATAATTCCAAATACAACGTTTTTGTTTTCTTGTCTATAATTGAGTTCGAAGAAGATGCATGAGCTATAAAAGCCCTCCAAGCACGCTAAAGCCAATAATGTCATAAAGTTGGAAAAGATACATGTTACACATATTACAAATGTTTGTTCTCACTATCATTATCAAAATTTTACAGCCAAGGCAAACTAAAAGATACAATTTGTAACAAAATTCAGCAAATCTTTCAAAGTTCTTGAACGACATATCATCATGATTGGGTTGCTTAACAACTTGAACACGTCGGTCCAATCTCGGCAATACAGTTGCTTCATCCCATAAGAGTCATGTATTTTCTGCACAAAATTACAGCATCAAAAATATCACGAATCAAACAAACATTCGCCAATATAACAGAACAAGGCCTCACGAACCGCCTTGCCTTTTTTTTTTACCGTTTAACTCAAACAAAAGTATAGCGGCCGCTATTTCCGCTATCGCGGATAGTGGTTAGCATCCCAAAAGCATGGCGCCGTGGTCCTGTACTGCTACCTTATGCTGCTATAGCGTGCTATCGACAACCTAGCCGCAGGGTATAAAGCATGCTTCTCTGTTGCAACATGAAAATGATGACTTGGAAGGTAATATTATTAGTCATTTCTATGGCAATGACTTGGTATTGGACCAAGATGCATGACCCTTGAATTGAACTAGATATCTGTATTGCAGATTCCTTTTGAAATGCTTGTGTTTTGGTCTGTCAAATATTACAATTATTGATTAACTATTAGACAAAAGATGTATGTACAGTTACTCTGCAAAATCGGTCATGGATTCATGGGAATGTGATAATGCTATCAATTATTTTATTTCATTATTGCAAAAAAAATCCATACCTATATATATATATATATTTTTTTTCATTACGCAACTTTCCCCCGTGTTAACACGGGTTTGAAATCCTAGTACATAGCACATAAAAGAAAACAATATCTGAAACAATTTCCTCTCCCCATTATATTATGGATCAATCTTTTCCTTTTTTTTTACATGATTTCAGTTTCGGTTTCTCCTAAAGATAGACAGGATCAGTGCTATTAAATCAGCAAAAAATCCACTAGCTTCAATAACACTCGTATCGGTTACTTCAGACCATGGATATGACTTCACTGATTTGGTTGCTTCAAGAAGAATCTCCAATGGAATCTTCGGTTTTGACCTTTCCATAGGAACCGTGTAATGATAGTATTTCTCTGGGTCCGGACAATAATCCTGCAAAATTTTATCTTTGATTAGTTCACTTCAAACACGACTGATTATAAAAATACCAATATCTTTTAATTAACAATACCTGATCAGCATGCATCTTTTTCACAAAGGTTTTGAATATATCAAAATTTTGTTTCTGGAATAATTCTTCTGTCAAACGTAGGTATGTGACTCCATACATCCTTAGTTTTGGAGGGCCCTTTTTATTAACACCATTTGGTCTAGCGTTTAGAAGGATTTGGTTGTAACCTTCAGTGTCATACCTTGGAAGTGCATTTTCCCCAGCTACTTCAAGGTTCTCTCTCCATCCTCCACTCAGAACCTACAAGTAAATACACAATTTACAATAAACTCATGCAATGTGTAATGGAATTTATCAGTCTCAATTTCTGTTCGATTTTGCAAAGAGCAGCATATTAGATTAGATGTCAAGTTGGAATAGATTACCTGCTGAACAAGTTCCTGGGCACAACTTTTGGCTTCTTCTGGTTGCTCAGAATTTCTCATCTCAAGACATGTGAAATTCAAAATGGCATTATGTCTAGAGAACATCCTTGCTATGGGACGGTATCCATCTCTATCGCTTAAGTTGTAATATCCTGAAGTAAGCTCTGTAGCATGGCTATCAGTTTTATACCACCAGTGGATTCCAGCAATCTGTTTTGTATTAAACTTTCACTGTATTGATACGAAAAAATTGAATTGCTAGTTTAACATAGATATACATATATATTTGAAGAAATGATTTTTTTACAACCGACAATTTTTGAAGTGGTTAACTAGGGTCAACATTGCAGTTAATTACGTTCGGTAGATATTGAATGAATATATCGGGTGGCCAAACACATGAACCACAAATTTGGATGTTGTTAGCCATACTTTTTCAGTGTTCAATTACATATATGAACACCAGAAATTTTTGGTTAATCACATTCAAATTTGTGGCCGGTGAATTTTGACATCTGGTATATTCATTAACAATCTATTTTAATGTAATACGATCTATTTGAAATGTGTTAACTTAACAGCTTAAATTGTTGTTGCAAAAAGTGTCCAATTTTTTTGTTCAAATAACAGAACTAAATATTTGAGAGTTTACTTTTGCTGCTAACTTCACTTTGCATCCTAGGAATATTTTGTTGGCTTCATCCAAGATATCATCACCATGTGTCAGCAACTTGTTGGAATACCAAGTAAGAAAAAATTTCCCTTTCTCTGTTTGATAAGTTCCTTTTGATCTGAAAAACTCCGTAGATTCAGGTATGTCATTACATAACCCTGCATTATCCGGCAGCTCCCATTCAGGATGGCCTGCCTTTGTTGCAGCCTCTTTGAAATCAGCTTGAAGATATTTATCATAGCACTGCAAGATTTCAAGTGCAAGTACACAAAATTTGAAATCTGAATATCTGATATGGTTTACGTTATTGATATGAGTAGCAAATACTATTTGTTTTGGATTCGAATACTCTCCATCGACGCAATGGTGCAGCAATATTTTATGCAGAATTTTGTTTTGCTGCACCATGAGAGAGGATCTGAGTCCATTTGTTTTCAACAGTGTTATGTGGAAATGTGCACTAATTTCTACAACGAAAAAAGTCACAAACTCACGATAAATTCTCCGATACCAGGAAATTTCCAGCCTAGACAGTCTGAATAAGAAGGATATCTGAGTTCTCCAGCAGGGCCAAGTCCTACTTCAATATCTATCAGTAGCTCAGATTCTAAGAAATCTGCCATATTCTCTCTAAAACTCTTCATATAGTCCCTATACATCTGAATGGGAGTTCTTCCATTAAAGAAAGGTTTATCATCCACACCAAGGGAAATACATTCCTTGTTCCGAATTCCTGTACGGTTGGTGTAAAAAATATCAGGATCTGATTCACCAACTTCAAGAACCCATTTAGGTAATGGAATGAAAACAGAATCTCCAACGTTCCCTCCACATTGATGAAACGACATTATAGCTTGTAATTTCAGTTTGCAGTCCTGAACGAGCTGAAACAAGGACCTGTATCCTGACCAATCATACTGCTGAGGACCTTTTGATTCTACAATACCCCACCAGACATCAACCATAACTCCATCAACACCTGCCGCTCGTAGCTCCTTCAGCTGTTTCTCGAGTCCTGCTCTATTCGCCAAGACATTGTCACCTGTAATCACTCCTAGCTGGAATGAAGAAATAATACATTTTTGAAATGGAACATGTATTTTTATAGATGGAAATTTGAAAATAATTGAGTTACTTACTTGGAGCATCACATATACAGGTACATAATTTGCAAGCATTGGATTTTCGTATGTTTCAACTTTTGGTGCCTGCATTTTATGACAAAAACTGTTATGTTAGGACTATATATATGGTGATCCAACTACGTGATTTTCTTTGCTTCATTCATTTTTTGAAAATTGAAATACTAACAACATATAGATACATAGCAGATGTGTCTATATAGAACAAGTAAAAAACAGTCCAAAATTTTGTAAATAAATAGCTCATGTTTTTTAATTGCCTATTGTGAATAAAGAAATAGCTCATGTTGTTTAATTGCCTATTGTGAATAAAGAAATAGCTCATGTTGTTTAATTGCCTATTGTGAATAAAGAAATAACTCATCTTTATTATAAATAATAGACTAAAAATATTAAATTTAAAATCTTCAAATAAAATTAGTTAAATTATAAAATTATAAAGAAAAAATTAATATGTCAGAAATAATTAATGTTAAGAAAATGTTAACTTGTGGCCCTAAGTTCTAAGTTAAAGTCAAAAACTTAAATATGAAATTTTTGTTCCGTTTGAAAATTTTTAAATTCATGATTAAGTAAAAAAATTGACGGTAGAGAATCGTGATCCTTCTCATTGCTCCTGAATACGTGGACCACTCAAATAACTCACAGCTAGTTTCATCCTCTCACAACAACACCATCAATTACAGAGACGAAGACGAAGACGAAGACTTAGGGTCATTATAGTAAAACCAGACTCTGGTTCATGAACACTAAATTATATACTAATAACACATAAAAGTGAAAAAATGTTACCTCTGCAGGTTCAGCAATGGCAGCTTTTAATGCTGTCACAGACACAGAACGTTGTTTCTTGATGGAACCACGATGAATATCACAAAATTTCAAAGCTTGTTTTGTCTTTGAATTTGGCTTCCTTGCTCTTTCAACACGTATTCCCATTCTTCCCTGTTGAAAATACCTTTCGCGAACCTCAAAGGTATTAACCGTCATCCTCATTCTAAACACCAGTTAATCAAGATTACTCCTAATGCTGATTATATGAAGCTTAGTTGGTTTAATGCATGTGATGAAATGAAGAAGCAGATTAATTAGTGTTTAATAACACTAATCACTGGTTAATGTGTTTTTTTTTGTGTTTGTGTATTTGAAGGGTTTGGGATGTTATTGTTATATATGGACCAAATTTTAGGAAATAAAGAGAGGACAGTGTTGCTTGAAGCAATGATCAAAGATAATAGACAGAGCTTGTAGACCGTCAGTGTCCTTTTTCACTCTTGTTTCTTCATGTGCTTTTCATTATGCCGACCTCTTTTTTTTCCTTTGGGCTTTGATTCTCAAATGGGCTTCACTTAATTTGTCTTTAATTTGAAGTCCGATAAGTAAGTTGTGAGAATTTCTTCTGCCACCCTCCAAATTTAATGGCATCTCTCCAAAATGTTATGATTTTATCTAAAATTAAAAAATCCATTTCATTATTTTACTATAACATTTCGAGTTTTTTTAAACAATCTCATTCATATCGGATTTTTTTTACTCAAACTATATCGCATTTATGACTACTAAGTATACAATTTCACCAGATTTTTTTACTGGATTTAAAAAAATATGCATTTTTATCGTTTTTGTTTTTTTTAGAAATGTCTAATAAAAATTCATGTGTTCTCATGCACTTTTACCGATATTTTGAAAAGATCGATAAAAATGCATATTTTTTACCATATATTTCAAAATAACCGATAAAAATGCATGTTTTCAACCGGCTATTTTGAAAAAAACGGTAAAAATGAAAGTAGTTATACCGATGATTTTGAAAAAAATCGATAGTGGAAAATGTTGCTTAGGTTAACCAAAGGATTAGATGGCACAATCACTTTTAGGCAGCGTAACCGAGTTGCAACTGCAAGAACGAGGATTCGTGCAAGGGGAGATGATGCCAAGGACTCGTATATCCAGTAGGGAAGAGTATGAAGGTGAGAAAAACACAAGAAGAGGGTTGAATTATGTGAACTTTTTATTTCTTTTGGTCAGATTCTAAACACACACTTCCTTGAAGCCAGTTATGATAAATTCTTGAAGAGCCATTTCATGCTCATCAAGAGTTTTATCACACACTCCTTTACTAAAGAAATATGATCCTTATCTATAACTTCAGTTTTATTTTGAACATAATTTAATTCTTCTTTCAAAAGATCATATTGCTTTTTCAATATTTTCACGTGTCTGACTTTCTCTTAACATCTTCTTATGAGATCTTGAATGAAATTAATCAAATCAGAACAAGATAGTTTAAAAAATACCTCATCCTCTTCCTCAAACTCTGAACCAGAATCTGAGTTAGATTCTTCTTCAAAAGATGTAAGAGCCATCAAGGTAAGGTTGGCTTGCTATTCATCCTTTTCAGAGTCTTCTTCATTATCAAATTCATCCCATGTTGCCATGAGACTTTTCTTGAATTTATTTCTGAAGTTATCCTTCTGAAAGCTTCCCTTCTTTGACTTGTCCTTTTGTAGTTCAAGACATTCAGTAATGAAGTGAACAAGCTTCTTAAGTTGAAGCATCCTTTCTGATCATCCTTCTTTTCTATGAAGCTAAATCCTCTGAAGTCATTGTTTCTGTCAGAGAAACTCTTGTTCTTCTTAGCCAGATATTAAAACCTTTTAATGATGAATGCAATTTCCTCATCATCTGAGTCATTTTCAGAACCTTCTACAAGATAAGTTTCTTCAGACTCCAGACTTGAGGAACCTTAGCAATTTTAGCAATAGATTTTAAAGCCATAGGCTTTGACTTTCTAACAGGTTCATCTCCATTGAACTCCATCTTATGGCTCTGAATATTACAGATAAGACTTTCAAGACGTAATGTGTTTAAGTCTTTAGCCTCCTTAATAGATGTCACTTTAAGCTTGTATCTGATAGGAAGACTTCTAAGAATCTTTTTGACATGATCAAATGTAGTAGGGCTCTTGTTCAGAACCTGAAGTCCAGACACAAGAATTTGAAACCTAGAAAACATGGTTTCAATGTCTTCATCGTCCTTCATTTTGAACAGGTCATATTTAAGAACTATAAGGTTAGCCTTAGCTTCCTTAACATGTTGATTCCTTTTATAAATGACATTGATGACTTCTTGGAAAGTGTACCAATAGTGTCGCAGTAATAAAATATCAAATCCACAGGGATTTTGTTCGAACAAGACAATAATTGTGCAATAAAACTAAAATAGTAAATAAGAGGGGTTTCAAGTTTCAGAGCGAAAAATAAAATAAGAGTTTTAAACAGAAATACTAAGATAGTCAGGTTGTGTATCGAATCCCCTTATAATGCCTTGCATGAATGATCTTATCCTTATAATCTCATGACAAATTAACAAAACTGTTATAAATGGTCCCTTACGAAATAACTCGCTTATCACTACTCGGAGCTTCCTATTCCTAGTCCATCAACTTAAGTAGGATTATGAGATGTACATAATGTTAATGCCCTATGCCACTACTTTAGGTCTCATATCCCTATTCAACCAACGTAAGTAGAACAATTGCCCTAGGTCCAACATATAGGCTACAGGTCAGTAATCCATATGTGTTAAATATAAGATTAACAAATTATCTCAAATATAAAACATGAAGAACGATAAGCAAATGAATAAAATTATAATTCAAAGGATTTATACAAAGTCAAATCAACATATAATCCAACAAGATTGGATAAGGTTCATCATAACACAACCTAACCTACAGGAGCTTAGCTACTCATAATTCAGATAACAATACCACAATTGATAGATGAAAATAACATATGAATTTCCTTAATGTAATGACCTCAAATGGCTTTCAAATGCCCTAAAATAACCATTGGTTCTCTCAAAATCGTGTTTTGCTCTCCCAAGTTCGTAACATTGTCAAAATGCTGAGAATCCCCTTAAAAAGAGCTCGGAGCAGGCTAGAACACGTCAGGAAAAAAAAGCCCAGAAAAAGTGTCCACCACGCGTATTATAAATGTATCGTGCGTGCGATGTAACTTATACATCCCTATCGTGTGCGCGGTGGTGCACATGATTATTCCATTAGTTCCACCAAAAAACACCCCTTTTCACCTAAATTTTCACTAAGTTCCATTGTTCCATATTGTTGTACCCCAAAATTTGACCAACCGTTTCTTGTAATTTGGCTTATGTTTCATTTGCATTTGCATCTGCATATCGCATATTGTGCATTTTTTCAGCCGAATAGATTTTATCGGGATTACAGCCCTTTCTCGCGTCTCTGGAGATTCAAACCAGTTCGAATAAACAGGTTTATTTTGGAAGTGGTGCTCTTCCCGGTGTTTTCGGTCTATGCTGTTGTTTTTGGGGATATTTTAGTATCCGTTTTTTTACCGTTTATTTCGTTGCGTTCTCGCATTTTTATTCATTGCTTTTCTTTGGAGTTGTCTTGATTTTCTAGGTTTTATTTCATTAGATTTTTAATAGTTTTTATCCTTTATTTTCTATTTTAGAATATTATTAGATTTTTTTAATAGATTTTAATTGAGTTTTTGTAAAAATTATTAGTTTGTAGAATGTTTTAGGTTATTAATTCTTTTAGATTTTTGGTTAGAGTTTATTAGAATTTATTAATCTAGTTTATTTTAACTAGGGTTTTAGAGTTTTATTTTAATTAACTTGTTTATCTTTATTATTAATCTCAGTTTTAATTAATCAACTTTTGAGTCAGATTTCTGCAGGTCCAATGCAGCATGTTCCGCGTGTGACAAGTGTCAGGGCTATAAATAGCCCTGTTCACTCTCTCTCTCAGGTGGCTGGCACACATCACGAAAAAACCCTAGATCCGCCCACCAGCAAAATCAAATGGCATCCATAGGCCGCCGGAAACCTCATGAACATCACCGGAAAATTCATGATACCCACCAGAAAACACATCGTGTTCTTCATGTGTTCATACATTTTTTCCCCAGCAATTTTCATCCAAGTTCATAAACACATTCATCCCGTTCATCCTACTTTTTCCAGATTTCTTCATGTTCATACAATTTCTCCAAAAATCTTCATACAATATTCATCTGTATTCATATCTTCATAGACATTTTCCAGATTTGCTTCATCAACCTCCATAATCATCAACATCGTTTCCATATTTCAAGATCTGAACTCAACTCATCATAGATCTACCAACACAAATTCCAAACTACATCATGATTTTCCAGCAACATTCAAACACTCATCAGTTTTTTCCAGAAACCTTCATACATTCATACAATTTTCCAGAGTTCGTTCATCAATATTCAAACATTTATCCATTGAATTTCCAGAAAGTCATCACCATGAACAAACTTCAGATCTTCATACGAAACACATAGATCTTCATCCTGTTTTCCAGAATCATCACAACATTTCCCAGATCTTCATCCTTTCGACCTTCAACCTTTAATCAACTTCAAACCTACAGATCTACAAATTACCATAGCACATTCTTCAGATCTATCTCAACTAACCTCCGATCTGCCATTTCCACGGATCATCACGAAACCGTAGATCTTCGTCACCATCTCAACTCTCGCCATCAACAACTTCCACGAAGCTGCACAAACTTCTAGATCCAGATCCGCAAGCTTGTTTTCATCATCAATCATCTTCAAGTAGCTTCATCTGAACAACGTCATCCTACATGCATTCGAAACCACCTCCGAAGCTCATCCTCGCAGCTTTCTCATTTTCACCGAAAATTGCATCAATCATAAAGAAATGGAAGGATCAATTTGGATTCTTGAGTGTTGTTTGTTTGCTGGCTGGTTTTGTTTTTACAGGGGAGCATGAGATAGGAGAAGGAGAGGTTAAGCGTGAAGAGATGGCGGCGGAGATGATGTTGAGAGAGAAGAGGACGGCATGAACAGGGTCTAGGGTTTGTCAAGGTGAAGAAAGAAGAAAAGGTTCACGGATTTTCTGATGTGGGTTAGGGGGCCTTTGGCCCTACCGTTTCTTTGGATTTACACCCCCCA